CACACACACACACACACACACACACACACACACACACACACACACACACACACACACACACACACACAACACACACACACACCACACACACACACACACACACAACACACACACACACACACACACACACACACACACACACACACACACCACACACACACACACACACACACACACACACACACACACACACACACACACACACACACACACACACACACACACACACACACACACACACACACACACACACACACACACACACCTCCCCTTTTTCTCCCTGCTCTCCCCTCTTGCACAGGCTCTTTGCGCGTCATTTGATTTTCTTATTTAACAACCAACCCTGAAAATGCGTAGGAAGAAAGATGTCTAAATATAGATGCAGCCACAACAGCTCGCACCATGAGCGCACAGCAAACTCTCTCCAACACCATGAGGAGACAAAACAGAGTGACGCTTTGCTGTTTGCTGATCATTACCCAGACAGCTGTGATTAAATAAGATAAGAATTGCTTTTATGTAAAAAAAAAAAAAAAATCTCGGACACTTGATTTAGGTTATGTAAATCATAAGCAAAGGGTTTCCAGCATGGTTTGAATTCATGTTTCTAAGTGTGTGTATTATGTCGAGTAATTTGGTTGGCCAAAATGACAGGAAAATATAAAGAGTTACAGTAAACGTATCAAAGGGGCAGAGTCCAGGCTGAGTGGGATTAACATGTGAAAAGTGAAGTACCAGTTAGCACTCCATTTGAGAGGCCAGTATCATTATCCTCTCACTGGCGAAAGGCAGAAAAACACACACACACACACACACACACACAGTTCAAGTGGAATAATAAAGCTCTTTCAATGAGAGTATAAAGTGAGATCAAGTCTCTCTCGATGGCACTCCAGCGCAATATTGGAGCGATGCCCGTTTGCACCTCGAATGTGACAACTACTCCGACCTCACGGCGCTCCAAGCGTTTGTAGTAATCATATATATTATGTGTAGCTGCTACAGGATGGTTTACAGGTGCTTGCTTTGATTTCAAGATAATGGCAGGGGCTATATTGTAAACACAGACTGTAAATATGAAGAGGACCTAGTCACTGTGATGTCACCCAATCGTTTGTGGACTAAGGTTTTGAGGCCTTGAGTTTGGCAATTTGGCCCCCGCCATCTTGATTTAGTAGGAGCCAGAAGTGACAACAGAAGAAGTGACAAACGAATGCTGAAAAAGCCATTTGTAGGTGATTTTACAATGAACTTTTAAACTGAAAACACACTGTAAAAAAGGTAAAACCCTTTGAAAAAAACACAGACAACATCAAACGTCAATCACAAGGTAGCCAAGCCCTAAAGCAAACCCTGCTTGGTTGTCTATTTACTTTAAATGCAACTATCATGTACAAAATAAGCACAACGAAGAAGAAGACTTAAATCTAGAATTTGAGCCCATAAACTTGTCAGTAAAATATAAACTGAGGTAATAAATCAAGTATGGACATTTTCTCATGGACTTCTACACAATTATAATTCTTTTTGCAACCATTTGCAGGAAATTAAAGAGAATGCAGGTTTAAGGCACTTCCACATTGGCTTCACTGATTCGACCTGGAGGTTATAGCTTCATTGTACATCTCTCACAACATTGGGTCAAGGTACAGACACAACAGAGATGCGTCTTCTGGATATCTTGGCCATGACAGCACCTGACATACAGTATATGGCAAACATTTTGAATCTACCAGGGTCTTTAGAGTCAGCGTAAATCTATGATCAGAGTCTGCTGACTGACTTACGCATGTGCCAAATGAACATCTGAAGGAGGGCTGGAGAAGGAAGTGAAAGTGTACACTTATGGCAAGATGTGGTTTCAAAATGGTGTGCCAGTAAAGATATAGGAAGTAAGTCTGCTGATCATGACAGTGCCCCATGCCCGGCCAGAAAACTCGTTAAAATACTAAGCTTCTTAGTAATGAGGTCAACACTCGACTGACATTTGACCCGGATCAGCGATCACTAGCTTAAAAATAAAATGCCCATCTAGAAGAAAAGCAAAAAATAGTTTTAATGTATTGTTTGAATAAACATAATATTCTTGACAAATTAACTTTGCGATGCCTTTTGAATGCAATTAAAGAGTTCAGTACTGAGAAATTCTCTTATCTCGGTTTTCCTCACAGGGTTCTTAAAGGCCAAAGAGCAGCAACAATGAAGCTGGCAGACTTAACCACATTATCTAAAACTTCTGTTTAATGTCCAGCAGGTTTAAAACAAAAAAAAAGGGAGAATATTATGACTTATGAAGTTGAATACTGTCTTCTATATATGATCACATTCTTTTTTTAAATAGTTGTGACTTCTGCCCTTGACAGGAATGTTGCTTCCAATAATCTGAAATATAGAATCAATGCAAAGCAAGAAGAACTACTATTTAATTAGCTCATCCTTTGTTTATGAATAAAAATTAAAATTGGAAAAATAGTCATCTGGAAATTAAAAATCGTTTTTCAAAGCACCTGCAGCTACAAACTGGAACTGATACAAGTCAGCCCCACATATCTTACATACTTCAAATGAATAAACAATTCTGCTGATGCATTATGAGACCGACGGCAAAAGATCAGTTCAACAGAGTTTTCTGAATGTTTTTTAACACTAACTGTGATCCCATTTTTAGTCACATTTGTCTTTAGTAAATACATCTTTTGAAACAGTTTAAACAACGTTAAGTCGTATATGCTGTTGCATGTGAGGTAGGGCTGTAGAGTACAAATAGTTTGACCATTGAGACAAAAGGTATAACCAATGAAAAAAAAGGCTTGAATCAAAATAATATAATAAAATCCACATTTTACATCAGAAACGACTACTATACCTGTTTCCAGTTCAGCAGCTAAACGCCAGTGATCATTCTGAGGCAAGTGGTACATTTCCAATCAATCCTAGTTGTTCTCATCCTCAAATTGCAATATGGAAGAATAATGAACCTGGCTAAACTACAAACAAGCTAAGCTAACTTGAGGTATCACATTTTGCACTTCTTACTTTCAGGGATCCCCCCTTCACAACGGCCTCTCTTACAACAGGAAATACCCCTCAGAGCAGCTTTAATAGGTTTCAAGAAACAGGCAAGACCAAGACCATTGTCATGTAGAACAATGCCAGTGCAAAAAGCATCTGAAAGACAGCGCACCTCAGGAAGTACTCTGCCAGATCACGTCCTGTTCGCACGCAGTGACGCAGCACGCATGACAGAAGAAGAAGAGTCGGAGTATGTACTGTAGGGCGGGACAGGCCGTGAACTTGACTTCAACATTTATTTGTGTACACTCTTTTTCCAGACCATGTTTTTAGCCAGTTAATACTTCCTGGGTTGCTTTACTTGAGCGGGAGAAAAAGGGTCCCCACACAGTGTCTTGCCAACTTGTAGATCAAACCAGCTCGCTAAAGAACTACGAAAATATTTTGTTGGCATTATGAAAATGGATAAAAGCTGCACTTATAATATATCATGGCTCTGTCATCAACTTCTTTTAGGTTGTTCATTTATTTGTGTATCACAAATACAAACTGATATTTGTTGTTGCTTTTTTTGTGGCTAGCTGGCCTGCTCAGGAAAACATGCAAAAGTAGCAGAAACACAGTAAATCTGCAAATTACCAATTTTGCTTCTTGACCATTCTGAAGGTCATATTTCATCTCATGTGTGACTGAAACTAAATGCTCTGAGCTTTCTGGAACATTCGTTTTTAAGGGCAACAGCACAATTGTTCATTGGGTGTTCAGTTATACAGAAATAAAACAGACATGGATAATTGATAGCCTCCAGCCAATCAGGAGTGAATATTCCTTTTATCCAAGGTATAACGCCTAAATAAACCATGAGGCAGAAAAGCCATTTACCATCTATCATGTCTCGAGAATGTCTGCGTGTGTCTGGAGCCAATACTAAAAGATACATTCACATTTGTAAGCCTTTCAACTTTGTGCTACGAAACAGTTTTTCAAGACTCATTAAAATCCACTGTATCAGCCTTTTGCACCCCAACACACCAACCCCCATTTTCCCATCACCCTCCTCTGCAGAAGCCGGGCCTTATGTCCCCTCATGGCATTGTTACTAACAACATGAAGCTGGACTTTCCATGACATGATTCCTCCAGTCATCTCGCAGCTGAGGATATTGCAAAAACAATATGTGACTGTAAATATCCCAAGGATGGAAAGCTGAAGGCCTGAGATAGAAAAAAGTATAGCCTATGTATAAAAAAGGACAATAACATCATCATATAGCATTGTACAATTACAAAATAAATTATAAGTCCCACTTTATATAAAAAGCACTCCTGATTATGGTGATAGAAGCATCTTATTTTGCAGCTATTCTTTTATAATATGCATGGTAATGGTTGAAAGGCTAGAATAGTGCATTCTTGCTGATACCTCACTCACTGCCTATATGCTGAGGCCCTTTGAAGCCATGGCTCTTGCGCAAAGCAATGTCAAGTCATCCCAAAACAAATGAGCACAATATGCATCCAGATGCAGGAAAATCCGGTCTGGCAAACAGATCTACAGATCATAAAAAATGTTTGTGTAGCGTGCCATATGGTAATCCGCAGACTCCAAATCCTGTGCAGGGAACAGCACACGGTAGCGTAAATTATAGCAGCATCAGATTATTGAATGTGTGCCATTAGGCCAGGGAAGTATCCCAGCATATTTCCACCTCTATAAAGAGGTCACACAACGAATCTTCTACAGGAATAACACATGCAGACATTTCAATATCATTTTTGATATATGCACCTCAATGCATCGGATCAGTGGTTTATTGTAAGCACAGAATGTGCTCAGCTCAGTGACACTCAGTGATAGGGCGCCTCGCTTGCAGCCGATATTCAGCCTATACGAGGCGGACATGGTGTTAGGGCTTCATGACTCCGCAATTTGACTACAGTGCTCTCTATTGCAGGACATATTTATAATAAAAAAAATAAGCGCATTACCTCCAAAGTGCGTATTTCTTGTTGTGTGAGGTCGTTGGACGCGGCGCATTTGGTCCGGAGCCCCTGTAAACTGGAGATGGAGATTTCAATCATGTTCTGGATGAGTTCGCATTGATGTAGTGCGGCCATCGCTGCGCCACCAACACCGCCGCCGCCGCTTCCCCTCTCCGGCTGCTCATCACTCTCCACCATCTTCCCCCCGATAGCAGACACACTATCCATTCCTCAGCATTGGGCACGAGTGGAAGGGGGCTGGAGTCAAACTGTTAGGCGACAATAAAAACACATGCAGCAGTCCAGCCAGCGACGCAGCGACCTATTGTGGAAGTTAGTTGACAGCGAATGTCCCCTAAGCTCCAATTCAGGACAGAAAGTCAGGATGCTAATGTTTTTTTTAATTTATGAAAACGCGGTGCTCGACGGTGACTGGTGGTGAAGCGGGCCGAAGAGCAGCAGAGCTCAGCTTCTGTTCTCGGTCCGTACAGGCTACCGACGACAGGCTACTCTCTTCCACCGACAGCTCTCTGGCAGAGGCTTTCACCGTCTGTCAGCTGTTGGGAACATCATGGGGCGCGGTGCACTTTGGGAAATGGAGTCAAGCGGGCTATACTCCACGCCACAACAACCTCCCCCACCCTCTCACACAAACACGCGAATTAGAGACAGTAAATAGCTTTTTTTAAAGGATATTTTACTAACATTTGTACTGGAAAATATAAGACTCCATAACAGAAAAGCACAGGTACAATGAATACGTTTAAATATGCATTGCATTAAGGTGATGCGTTCAGGGCCCATTTGACCGACTTATCCTACTACTTGGAAAAACACCAAAAGATCAAGAAGAAAGAGGCTTACTTTTAATTATTTGTAGCAAACACAATATAAGGAACTGGTTAATAGATTAATGGATCTTGAAAATGAAATATACAACATTTAAAAACATGAAGATTGGAAATTAAGGTAATATCTTTGACAAAATAAGGGAACAATGGGTGAGGTGTGTTACAGTACAACTGATCTCTTGAGTTAGTTGTGACAATTAATGTATCCATGATGTTCATCATTTCCCCCCCTTTGTTTTTATTTATTTGCTATGATTTGTTGATTGTTATTTTACACATTACAGTTTTAACTGAATCTGCTTATTTATGATATGATGGTTCTTAAATACATTTAAATTGTCTAGTTTTGTTTTGATTGCTATTTTGGGTAGAGTTAATTGCCTTGTTAAGTGTAAGTAAAGGCCCCATTTCATCAAGCTTCGGCCTACAACCTTTTGTTAGGCCTTATTTATGGATTTAGTATTCCTTAACCACTTTCATAACTGTTTGGTCAATTTGTTGTAATTGTAATATATGCACCTTCCCTGCATTCAAAAGTTTACATAAATAGAAGTAGAAAATATGAGTTTCAAATTACATTTATAGTAGAAAAAGTAAATGTATTAATTCAGCACAATGGACCATTTCAGAACAAGATATGTTATATTGTTGGATTATAAATATTCCATTGCTTCTATGTTGCATCTGGTAGAGGAGGTGCTTTTTTTAAATGATTAATAAAATACATCATACAAATATATCAATATATATTAAATATATCAGTGTTAGCTTGTGAATTTCACCAAGGGATCATATTGATTGGTCTCAACCTATACTGATGCATAATAAGTCATTTGTTGGTTATATCTTGTATTATGCTGAATCTGAATCTTCAAAGTCACTAAAGCTCTACAAATAAATGGAGCTGCCTCTGAATTGTAGTGGATTTGAGGTATGAAGTAGCTGGAAATAAAAATACCAAGCTTAAGTACACATACTCCAAAACTGTAATAAAGTAGAGTAGCCAAATGTATTGTGCTACTGTCTACAATAGGCATTCGGGATGTTATACTTGTCTCATACACTCAGGGGCGGTTCTCGGGGGGGGGGGGGTGATTAGTAAAATATGCATAAATAAAAAGAAAGAATGCTAACTAAACTATAGGTAACATAAGATAAGAATAAACAAGTTGAAATGATTTGTTATTGGTTGTGATCATATTTTAACCTCTTCTACACCGCACCCCCGAATTCCGGGGGGAAAACGCGTCATCTGCAGGAAACAGCGTCTGAGGGCATCTTAATATTCAATAAACTATGAATGTTTTATATCCATGTAACGGGAAGAAACTCAGCTAACTGATCATTTTTTCATTTTTTTTTCAAAAAAAACCACAGGCTGGGCCTATGAATTAGCCACGAGCGAAAAAATGCTAACGGCGTTTTGCACAGAAACTCACTCATAACACCCTTATTATTTATCTTTACTGCACGTCCAACATATCGACTAGCATCATGAGAAGACACAGAATCGATCGGTACCTACATCATCACTCCATGATAAGAACTCGCGACTTTATAAACAAAAACAGACATCAAAACATGTGGCGCTAGGTAGCTAAAAACGCTAACATGGCTTACCTGTGTCGTTGTCTGGTCAAAAGTGGTCTTCAAGGCATTAAAACGATAAAAACGCTGCTGAAGTTAATCCATAGGTTAATCCAATGTGTCCCCTTTGAAATGATTTCTGATAATCCATAAACAATAAACCTGCTTTTCCGTTTCCAGATGTCAGAGCGAGAGATTACATTACATTACATATCACTTGTTAGACGCTTTTATTCAAAGTGACTTACATACTCAATACTGTGGACAATCCCCACAGGAGCAATTTGGGGTGAAGTGTCTCAGGGACACAACGACATGCTGTCTGCAGTGGGGTTTGAACCTGTGACCCCCTGATCCAAAAACCAACTCACAACCCACTGCACCACACGCCTCCATAGATAGGTTCGCTCTGATGCAAACCTGCATGCGCAAAGCCCCCACCTTTTTTTGTTAACATGTGTATGTGCAAATCCCCCTTCGATTCTATTGGCTCTAACGGTAAAAAAGAGATGTCAATCACCAAAATCGACCAATGGGTTCCAGAGAAATGGTAAAAACGCCCATTTCCACCCAAATCACCTCAGAGGTGGAGTTTGTTTTGCTAAACCTCTCTAAAAAGGTCAAATGTCACTTGTTTTGCATCAATCTTGATACAGCGTACTTATTATATGTTGTACTTTGGATTCCTAAAGCTTTTAGTCTACTAACCCATCATCCAAGGGTAGTTTTCACTATAAGTAAAAAATAATTTTTGGACGCACACTATCATTTACAGTTATGTTCAATCTGAATTTTCTTTAAAATAAAAAACATCTATATTGATTCTGACTTTTCTACATCCAACTCACAGGTTTATCATTACTTTGAGAAAAAAGATTATTAATTTAACCCTTTTAGAAGGGAAGATATGGTCATTTGTTCTGGGAATGTCATTTTCGAGCCTGAGACATGAAAAACAGGCTCAGGGCTTAACAAGATGTTTGGATCATTGAAAAGTATACAGCTCCCTTTCATATGAGTGTTGAGAGCTGTATCCATGAATTCATGTTGTGCTCAAAGTGCACCAGATTGATGCATTTCACTTCAACATTTAAAAAAAAATCTTCCCAGGGGTGCATGCCCCCGGACCCCCCTGGATGTGAGGTCCACCCCCAAATAAAGCAGGTTAAAATAATTAAATTGCATACATTTTCTTTTAGTAAACACTGCAAACGGGTCCGACAGACCCAAACAGCACACAAAGGTTAAAGGTCAGCATATAATAATGTTAAAATGTGCTAAATATATACACTGCAAAAAACAAAAAAAAGAGGAGTAAAAGTAGCTCACGACTTGTTTTATTTTTTGAAAGTAGCTCTCATCCTAAAAAAGGTTGGAGACCCCTGCATTAGAGCGTAAAAACTGTAACTATAAGTATCTGAAATAAATATGTGTAATGAAACAAATACCAATAACTGTATTGCATTGTTTTCTTATGCGCAATTACTTCATACTGTCTTTGTCTTTTTCGTCCTGCATTTATTGTGCCCCCCTCAGAAAATAACTGGTCCCAGCCTGGCCCCCCCCCAGTCAAATTGGTCTAGAACCGCCACTGCATACACTTGTACAGCACAATTGCACAGTAGTGTGGAGAGGCAGGGCCCAAAGAATAATGACCACCTTCCCCCTCACTCACAGCACCGTGCACTGCCTCCGTACACTGTGTTGAGCAAAAGAGATGCACAGTAGGCCTAGAGGGAAACTAGAGATGTTTTAGCAATAGGATTATCAGGCCACAGGATCCTTCTGTATCAAAGGTACAATCTGTGATCAGAGTACAGCCCCCTCCCCATCCTGCCAATCCAAGTCCACATAGTTGACATTCCACTTGCATGTAGTCCAGTGAGTGAACATGGTCTGCATACAAATGCAGACTGTGCACTTTCCACAATGATGTGAGGTTAGTAGTGGAAACAGAGCAGCACACCAGTGGGTTTCAAACATTCTTTCAATAATTTAACCCATCTAAAATATGATTATTTTTTTCGGAGAATAAACCCATAGAAAGAGGAAAAAACAACTTTACTCCAAAACAACAACAAGCCACATTTCAAATGTGTTTATAATCCATCACTTAATTAATGGAAAACCAATAGTGTCATCATGCAAGTACACTATGATAGCACTATTGTTGAATTGAACTGCTTCCTTTTTTTTTTAAGAAGTTGCACTTATTGCACATTTGAGTTTCAAACATGGGTGTTTGTTTTACTTCTTTCTCTTTATATTTCTCTTTGTATCCAAGTTTTAAAAACAAATACATTTTCTTTTTTTTGGTCTGACATTAAACGTCGAAATGGGCTTGCCCGTGACACTGAAAAAACGTAATTGTGACCGCAATTGTTCCAGAACTTATCGATTGCAATTGAAAATAGGAATATTCAATATAAAAAATGGCCTATCAAACCTACATTATCCATTTTTTTCACAATACTGTACCATATCGTATCGCAGCATAGACACTTTTTTGTAAAGCATATGGAGCTACTATGATCACATAATCTTCCCTCACATGTTTTTTTATTATTTCCACGTCAAAAGCAAAGCAGCCGTTACACCAACATGCAGTCAAAACCAAATAAATAACAGAAACCAGAGCCCAGTCTACTCTAATTGGTTATGATTGGTCAACCGATTAGAGATGTCCCGCCCTAGCCTATCAAGTACAATGTGTTGGAGCGCTAGCCAATAGAAGTGAGAGTGTTACATAGTGATGTCACTATGTTATTGAAGTAAACAAAGAAGTTCCTTTAGAGGATGAAGAAAGAGACAATTCAGATGGAGGACTGTGTTGGAGAGAAACTCCCTCTGGGGAGAACTTTGGGATTTGACCTTTGCAGACCATTTACATGCATACAAACCACACACTACAGGAAAGTGAAAACCCCAAAAAGCATAACATGGCCTCTTTAAAAGTGATAGAACTTGCTGCAACAGGACAGTACAAATCATATGCATGGGGGTGGGAGGGGTGTGCAGGTTTTCAAAACCATGAAGCAACAGTACACATGGCTCATTGCTGCAATGAGGGTGTGATGTTCCTTCCTTTAATATACCCTGATT